AGCGGTCCGGATAGGCTGAAGGCCCCAAGAGGGCGGACCAGACGTGTCGAGGCTCGGAGAGTGGACCAGGCCGACTGAAGGCCGGGTGTGGGCGGACCAGTCATACTGTAGACTCAGAGAGTGGACCAGGTGGATTGAAGGCCCGGTGCGGGCGGACCAATCACACTGTAGACTCGACGTACATGGCTAGACTCGGAGGGTGGACCAGGTGGACTGAAGGCCCGGTGCAGGCGGACCAGTCACACAGCAGACCCGATGTGCATGGTTGTTCTATTTGTGATATGTTATGAGTATGTTTATGTGTGGTTGGTATTTTGGGGGTAACTCACTAAGCTTTCGGGCTTACAGTTCAGTGTATTGTTTCAGGTACTTCAGGAGATCGTGGCAAGGCGAAGGCGTGATCGTACCGCTCCTCATGTTTTATGATTTATGTGATATGGTTCTGGGGGATACTCTGATGTTTAAACTATTTTGAAAACAAGGTGTATGAACTTAATGGTTTTTGAATGAATTAAAATGTTTTTAATTTGGCTCAAATTTTATGGGTGTTACATATTATTCGTTGTATTTGTATTAAATGTCCATTTTTTATGCCGCTTAAAATGACTACAGAGTTTGAATCCATTCGAACATAATTTTTTTGGGGTGGAAATGATGATAGAAAAAAAGATGGTTCGGGCAAAATGGGATTTAATTCTTGCCGGAAAACATAATGGTGGTTTGGATATTGCAAAGTCTTATGGCTTTTAATCTTTCATTGGTTAAAAAAATGGAAGTGACGTTTTTTGAATAATAATAATTTGATTTGTGTGCAACTAATAAAAATATTTATGGTATTAGAGGTGGGTTAGAGTTTTTGGTCTCTAACTTTCGTAGGGATGGTCCTTGGTCAAAAATTATTGTGCCCTTTGACTAAATTAGAGGATAAGAAAGTGTTATTACCTTCGGCGATAAAGAAAAAAATGGGTGATGCCTGAAGTGTGGGTTGGAGATCATCTTCTTTCTAGTTTATTTTCAAGGTTGTTTGAGTTAGAAAACATAAAAGATCGTGTTATTTCTGATCGGTTGATAGGTGATGGAAGATGTTGGGTTTGGCCAAGACCAATTAGAGGAGGAGAGGAAGCTTTGCAATTCTCTAATCCATGTGAAATGTTACATGGTATCAAGCTTAGTAATGAAAGGATAAATGGTGGTGGGATATTACTAACTTTGGAACTTTTTCAGTGGGAGAAACTAGAAGATGGATTGATAAAGTTCTTCCTGTTATTCAATCTCAAACTCGTTGGAATCGGTATATTCATAGGAAGGTAAATATTCTTATTTGACGTGTCTTATTGGATAAAATCCATACTACCTGGAATCTTGATCATAGTGGAATTGATATTCCTTCTATCTTATGTCCGGTTTGTTCTTTGGAGAACGAGCAACTTGACCATTTGTTTGTTAGATGTGAAATGGTTGCTAGAACCTGAAATGCAATTTTTAAATGGTTGGATGTGAATTTTGCTGGTTTCAATTCTGTGGTTGATATCTTTTTGGGGATTGATTATTTTCGATGTGGTGAAAAAAAGAACATTATTCACACGGTGGGTTGTGTTACCGTGTAGTACTTATGGAAGTTTAGAAATGATAAAGTTTTTTTAAGGTGAGAAACTTAGAAAATATATAATTTTTTATTCCATAAGGTTGGAGGGAGTGGAGCGGGTCATGCCATGCTGCCACATCATTTTTGAAGCCACAAACTGCTTGCCATGCCAATTTTGCCACACAACGTAAATGGCATGCCATTTTCAGGAGAGGATCAAGTTGGTAAAATTAGAAAAAAAAAAGCCTAAACCTTCACACACACACACACACACTCTCTCTCTCTCTCTCCCTCTCTCTCTCTCCCTCTCTCCCCTCGACAACACAATGTCGTTTGATCCACGTTTGCTTGGCATGCCACCGTCGGAGGATGGTGTATGCCATGGATGCCGAGTTAAATGTCGAGCTATGTGTCGGCCATTCCCCAAAGCATAAGAGAATTCTTTTTTCTTTGCTATTAAAATGGAAATACTAAGTGTCATGTTAATTAGGTTAAATTCTTATAAAATCCTCTAAACAATTTGTAATTGTGAAACATCCAAAAAATCATGCCCAAAAATTTTATTTTTAATTATTAAAAAAACCCATAGTTATCAAAAATCATCTCATCAAAACATAAGTCATAGTATCTCAAAATAACCCATATCGAAACATCTGTCAAATATATCAGAGTAAACATCACAGGCTAAAACATCATGGTGTGTGCAATGCAGTTATCCCCAAACTACCACATACCATACACATAATCACATATAAATATATCGTGGGCCCCGCCCCTTTATCGGTCCCCGGCCGACATCGGACAGTTTCCGGCATCGGGCGCCGCTCGGCATCGAGCAAAGCTCGGTATACATATAAACATATCCACAAATACACACAGAATAATCACATAACATAAGCATATAAACATTCCTCGGGTACTGCCCGACATCGGACCTAAATCCAGAAAGCATATAAACATTCATCGGGCACCACCCGACATCAAACCTTAGTCCGGAAAACATATAGACACAAACACATGCAAGAATCACGAAGACATCAAGCATACAAACATTCCTCGGGTATCGCCCGACATCGAATCGTGGTCCGGAAAGCATATAAACATTCATCGAGCACCGCCCGACATTGGATCGAAATCCGGAACATACAATCATACATACGGGCCGACATTGGTGTCTTCTACCCGTTCCTAAATGAGGAAAACTCACCTCAAATGTCGGGTGCTAGCTGAAACGTCTCTGTTCCGAAATCAGCTCTACTCAAACCCCTAAACAGAGCAACCTCTTAGATAATAATGCATACTCGTAGCCCCCTTAGGGTCAACTATGGTCATAGTCAAAGTCAAAGTCAACGCTCCGAGTTGACTCAACTCGTCGAGTTACCCCTTCAACTCGTCGAGTTTCTGAGAACCACAGAATCATGATTTCGCGATCCAACTCGCCGAGTTCTTCCATGAACTCATCGAGTTCTTCCCTGTTACAGAATCGGGACACTTCAATTCAACTCGTCGAGTCCCTTTATGAACTCGACGAGTTCTTCAGTCTACTAACCCTCCTTAATCCATTCAACCATTATTCTTCAAATCCAAGTCCCATATTCTAGATCTGGGCTGAAAATACATCTAGGAGTTAAAAGTTTCCAACTTTACTCATCAAAACCCACTCTAGAAGAAATAAGCTCTAACCCTAACCCAAAAAGCTCAGGGTCTTGATCCAAAGCCAACTAAAACTACAAGATAGACCATGAGGTCATAGATCTGGACCCTAGAGACTAAATGATCATGTAAAGTTTTAAACTTTATCCTCATGCATCGCCATAAGAGCTTCAAAAGACCAAAATGATGGTTTAAAGGTTGCATGGGACTTCCATGGTCATAATGTTGGCACCTTTATGCCATGAAAACCCCTCAAGGCCTTAGATCTGAAGTGATCGTTACTTGGGACGTCCAAATCCCAACAACCAATATACTTGGACCATAACATGAAAGAAAGCATCCTAAAACTAGATCTAAGCAAACCATTGACAAGGTTGAAGCTTTATACATCAGATGAATCAGAAATGAAGCCCAACTTCTGGATCTACTCTCCTTCCACACGTTCTTGCTCCTCCTTCAAGCTTCCTCTTCTTCAAATTCACCAAGAATGCACAAGATTAGCTTACAATCACCAAAAATGGCTTAGGGTTTCAAGATTAGGGTTTTGGACAATGGAGGCTGGAGATGAGGCCAACACCTTTGGGTTAAGGTGTTTAAATAGGGTGCAAAACCCAAGGATCAGGGTTTCATTTCTGCCAGCCTACTCGTCGAGTTGAGGCCTCCCAACTCTTCGAGTAGGTTTCTTAACCCGCGTCCCAAATCATCTCTACTCGACGAGTCTGGGGCTCCCAACTCGTCGAGTTTCTCTACAAAAGTGAATAAATTATGATTTTAAATACATACTAGGAATCAGGCGTTACAAATTGGTTTTTCTTCTAGCTTTGGGCTAATTTATTGTTTTTAGTATAATGTTGGTTGAGTGTTTCAAAAAAAATAATATCAACCCCTTCAATTTAATATATATATATATATATATATATATATATATATATATATATATATATATAGAGAGAGAGAGAGAGAGTCAGGTTCTTTTGAAAACCAAAAGATTTGTGAGAACTTCTGAACTCATAATCAACTCATCATTTTTCAACACCAAAAAACACCAATCTTCTCCAAATTGTGTGTCTAAGTCATATCTAGGCTCAGAAAAAAATTTGATGATTTTTTTTTTTTGGTTTTTTGTATGACTGCTGGTGAACACAATCAGCAGTTGTACGAACTGCTGATGAGCACAATCAACAATCATATGGACCGCTGATGAGCACAATCAGTAGTCATATGGACTACTGATTGCTCAATAACAGTCCATATGTCTGTTGATTGTGCACATCTCCAGTCCATATGACTACTGATTGTATTCATCAGTAGTTCGTACAACTGCTGATTGTGTATAAATGCAAATTTCGAAAAAAATAAAAAAATTATCAATTTTTTTTAGCGTAGATATGTCATAGATGCACAATTTGGAGAAAATTGATGTTTTTGATGCTGAAAAATGATGAGTTGATTATGAGTTCGGAAGTTCACATGTTTTTTTAGTTGTTACAATAACTCAGCTATATATATATATATATATATATATATATATATATATATATATATATATATATATAGAGAGAGAGAGAGAGAGAGGTTCATGTATTCTAATTAAGTATTGTATGGATGTAGGAATGATTGTGGGCCAATCATTTCAAAAGGGTAAATTTGTACTATTATATATAATCATTTTATAAAACAAAAATAAATTTTATTAGATATGGAAAATCCCCAAAAATATGGAACAGTTTCTATATAAATCCCAATCTACGTTTAGCTTGAAATGCACCACCGTCTCCATCGTCTTCAATATCTTCACAAACTCAGATTATCGATTTCATCACTTCCAATCACTGAGTGTAAGTCATCCCCCTTAAACCCTTCATCACTCATCAATCCTAAATCCCTTACTGTCTTTGCCTCTGTCAAGAAAATCGTCGTCCTCCTCTTGAGACCAGCCTTCATTTCTCCCTGTCACTCCTTTTCCGAGCTGACTCCCTTCACCATCGACTTCGTTGCCGACAACCCCTCCAGCGACGCCACCTCTTCCATCGCCGCTGGTAGTGCCGACTACTTCGTCAAAGTAGCCAATTTCTTCGATTCCAGGTGATATTTTATTCATTTGCCCTAAATCGAGACTTCGCTGCCGACAACCCTAGCTTGAAGGCTTGTTGTTATCGTCGATTTCATTAATCAAAACAAGGTATTTACTTTTTGTGTTGATTTCATGGATATCGTTAACAATGGAGAAAATGCTTATGTTGGATGGGTCAATTGTAAATGAATCAGAGATAGAGTATGTGTTATGGATATTCTTTCTTCATAATCAACAGGATCCCCTGGACTCGATTTTCTTTCATCAAACTAACTTACCATCTGCTTTCGTCTCTGGTAGGTTTTAATTTTGTCGATTTTCAGCCTTATTGGATGTTTGTAGAGTGAATTTTGAGTTTTTATGAACTATTTATGCTGATTTGAGAGGAATTTTTAATTTAATCATACAAGACTGAAATAATTGAATTGTGATTGTAGAACATATCCTGGTCAGATTCAATTAATTTGGATTTGCGTTCGCTATTGTTTTTCTATTGAATTGTATATGTGAGGTTTGATTAAATCGATATAATTAAACATAGTAGAGAAAAAGATTGAATTAACATAAACACTTTGATTTTCTTGTTTCTAAACTAGCATTGAGCTTCCAATTCAGAATGCATCTGATTTAGTGTTGGAATTAATGGAAAGATATTAAGTAAATTTTTTTGTGAGTAATCTTGGATTGGATCAGATTACGATAGCTTGTTAATTGTGTATTTGTATGGAATCTTGGATTGGATCTGACAACAATTCTGCCGGAATGGAATCTCGAATTCCAATTCCGTAAGAATGGAATCCCGAATTCCAGGTGAACTTAAGCAGGGAATTACCAAACACAACACATACTGGTATTTTGTAATTTCACTTAACTATCATTTTGACTATTTAATTACTTTTTTTCCAATTATTTCAATGGATTAGAATCTCGTACTTTCACTCATCTATGATTATATTAGAATGTATATCAAATCAATCTACTATAATATGTTTTTTGAATGGATGGTTAGTGGTTATAAGTTAGCATGACACACACACACACATACACCTAGGACCACTCAGAATGTAGCATTATAATGTATCGTTTTAGGGTTTTCATTGGTTTGTTCTTTTCAAATCATAAAAAGTGTAATATGTTTTGGGATTTTTTTTGCTTTGAATTTTTTTACTAACATGTTGTTAGTTGTTACAGTTTTGGATTGGTTATGCATTGTTAAAGAAGAAGCTTGATAGGAAACAAGTGTTTCTATTGTGAAGAAGCTTGATAGGAAACAAGCGTTTCTATTGTGAAGAAGCACTTCAATATTCGTTCAGAATGGATTGACATTTTTTTTCTATCAAAATGGATTAACAACAATATTCTATCAAAATGTATTAGTGTTTACTTAGATTTCAATGTTTGTATTTGATTTTTAACCATTCACATTTTTATTAATTAAGAATAAATGTAATTGGTAACCATTATTACTTGTATTCTTCCAGAATGAAATTCATTTATGTATGTTCATAGTTGTATTTGTTAAGAATAAATGTAACTACTGATTTTAAGATATTAAAATTCTTTTCATATAAAATTTGTATTCATTAATAATTAAGGGAGAATTTCGTATACGCCCTTCCTAAACAGCTAAATATCGTATTTGTCCGGACTAAACTCTAAATATCGTATTTGCCCTTTCTAATGTTTTTGAATATCATATATACCCAAATCTATTTTTTGGTATTTTTTATTGATTTATAATTGTTTTTCATAATATTAAATCATTATAAATAAATTATAAATAAAATACATTATGAATGGACAATAATATCCTTCCTCCTAATCTCCAATACAACACACGATTCACAGCTTTATGGATCGATTCTGCCAAAAATCGTTTTCCCCCATACCTTCTTAAGTCACGATCCTTCCCTTCCCTGAGGCTTCCGATCTTTGCATCCAATCGATCGCTGATTCCAGTTGGTGCTTCCCCTGTTATCACATATACACACACGCAGGTTGCAACTTCCTTCCGTATCTAGCTTCCTTCTGATCGTAGCACAATTCCTTCTTCCCCCCGTTGTCGCACACTCACATCATCGAATCAGGTACTAGCGACTTCAACATATACCTATTTTCCATCTCTTTAATTTCGTTTTTAGGGTTTTAGTTTCAATTGTTCAAATTCTTTTTACAATCCGCTTTGTTATGTTGTATTTGATAGCTTAGTTATGTTGGATTTCAGGTACAATCGGTTTCAGTGAACTAAGAACTTTTAATTTCGCCTATGATTTTCTAGTTAGTCTCTTCTGTTTTGACATCAATTAGTTTTCTTCATGATATAATGGAATCATTGACAAATTAGACAAATTATATGGAAAAGGAATTATGAAACTGATACAGGGATTTCAGCAATTCCAGATTCTAGATGTGTAGGTGACATATTCATCAGCTGTAATCCCAAATTGAATGTTCAATTGACAAAAAAAAAAATCATAAAATCCTGATTACTGCAGCTGCAATAAGTCTAGGAATTCTTGAACAAATCAAACAACAACAACATAATCAAAGTTGAGGAACGGGAATGGATTTGGTTTTTAATTACCTATGCGTGTGTGTATGCGATAAAGGGTCTGGGTCCGCCGACTGGAAGCACGATTGATTGGATGTGAATGCAACGATCGACAGTGTTTGGAACACTCGATCGTGACACTGATTGGAGGTATCGACAGGCTTGATCGTGAATTGTGGGGAAAAGGAAAACGCTATGATCGCTAATATGTGAATCGTGAATTGGAAATTAGAAGGAAGGGTATTGTTGTCCATTCATAATGTATTTTAATTATGATGATTTAATATTATGAAAAACAATTATAAATCAATAAAAAATATCAAAAAATAGATTTGGATATATATGATATGCAAAAACATTAAGAATGGCAAATACGATATTTAGAATTTAGGTCGGGTAAATAAGATATTTAGCTGTTTAGGAAGGGCGTATATGAAATTCTCCCAATTATTAATCTTGATAATATATGTTTATAATATTCTGTCAGAATTTAATGTTTTTTTTTTCAAGATAATCATAAACACATTCTTTTAGAATGTCCGAATAAATATATTTATTATCCAAAAAATCAATTTTTTAATATTTAAAGAATTCATTATTCCTTAAAATCTGCAATTATCCTTTTTTAAATTTATATTAATTGACTAAAATACCCTTAGAATGAAATTAGATGGTATGTTTTAATCATCTTTAATTTAATAATATGTATTATTCACTTTCTTAAAATAAGTAAAATGATTGGCCCACAACCAAAGACCAAAATGTCAGCCGGTCTAAATGTAGACCTTCCATCCTGCGGGTCTGTCAAAAAGTTCACTGACACTTCTTTTTTCACAGAAATACCAGCACGCCGACAAGCATCAAAGAGAACATCCCGAACCACATCATGTCTGTACTTGAAACCAGAGAGCTCTCTACAATGAGCCGTGTGTTCTCCAAAGGTATCCAAACATGTCTTGCGGCAAACTGGGCATATCTCGTCAATTGGGAATATGAGGCGATAACGAAGGATAGCTCGGTACTCCACAGGAGACATATATATATATATATATATATATATATATATATATATATATATATATATATATATATATATATATATATCCAAAATTATAATTATAAAGGATACAGAATACTTATCTAACATGCCTCTAAAAAATAAATAAAATTCAAAAACATTTAAAACATATCACGTCCAAATAAAAAGTCAAAGACAGAGAGAGATGAATCGAGGAGCGTGATTCCAGAAATTTGCTGGGTCGCGTGTTCTGTGGATCCCACCATCTACGTATTTTTCAGCTTTTTATTTATTTATTTTATATTAAAATTAAATATAAAAAACATTTAAAACAAAAATTAGAATTTTTATTTCTCAACCTCCATCCATCATCTTCTCCATGTTTGCGTAACCACCACCGCACCGTTCAATTATTTCTCCCCCATCACCTTTCCCTATGCCATACCACTTCTTCAATCAGTTACTTTCCTTCTCTCTCTATACTTCCATAACTTTCTCTCTCTCTAAAAATCTCCAATTGTATTAGATTATACGCTTCTATCAGATCGCTCACCGTTTCGAGGTATGATATCTCCGTTTCTGAATTTCTCTTCCGTTTTCTGATTTCTTCTTGTTATTGTAGTGGTAGTGATGGTGGTTCGTGTATTGAAATGGTTCAAGTAATGATTTTCGTGTTTTGTAGTCTTCCTGCTTGTGATTTTGTAGGATACAGCAAGTTTTCTTGATATCTGAGGTAGTTTTTGAGTGCTATTCTGTTGATCGACGGATTGATTGGTTCCTCTTTCACGGATTTTGATTTTCTAATGCTTGATATGTGTTTTAGCGTGTTCATGGAATGTTGCATTTTTTGTAATTTCGACTCCTCATTCTTTTAGGATGCTGTGTGGTTTTCGGTTCTATGTTTTGCTGTTTGGGTAGGGATCTGGTTTCTGATTTACCTTCCAGCAGTCTCCGATCACGCTATTTCCCCACACCGTGTTCATTTTGCCGACATTATACATTCTGTGGTCAATGGCAACTTGCGCTATAGTTTGATTTTTTCTGTACTATGACGCGTTGGCTCTTGGCTGGATTTTTGTCATACAATACTATATATAGTTTCGTTTTTCGTGAGTATATTCCTAGTTACCTACTTGAAGAAACCTCTTACAACTGACTTTTTTGTAATCGTGGTGATCTAGTACCCCTGAGTTATGAGTTTTAGGTTCAGAATTGTGCATATATACAAAAATCATCACTATTCGACCTTCAAATTCTGAGATATCTGTGTGGAATCTTATGTTGCTGCCCTGTGTGCATAAACTGCTCTATGCAATAAAGACATTGATTTTAGCATTGGCAACGAATTTCAATTCAGAATCTAACTGATTTCCCCATTATTGTATTGTAGATCCGATTGACTGAGTACTGTTTTTTTGAAAGATGTTGGGAGGAAGCAACACCAATTCATTAGTTCCGATCTTCCTTGATGAGAACATCTTCCAGTATCCTTCAAATCAATTGCAGCTGTTTGGAAATGGTGAGTTTCCATCATTCTAACTTTCTAACATAAAGATTAATGAATCACTTTTATCTGATCTTTGTTTCTACATATATATATATATATATATTTTTTTTGATATGACAGTTCCAGCCACACATCATGTTGATCCAGTAAATTATTCTGGTAGAGAGCATAACAACCCTGCCTTTCTGCCCAATAAACGATCAAGAGAAGCTGATACTAATTTAATGCAGAAAAAGCTTCAGATATCATTGAACCAGAATTTTTATAATGAAGAATCTGATCGCCCATCAAGCATTCCAAACCCACATACTGTATCCACTGGTTTGAAATTATCATATGATGATGAGGAGAGAAACTCCTCAATCACTTCAGCAAGTGGAAGCATGACTGGAGCAACACCACTTATGTCTTCTTTTGGTGATAGTGTCACAACTGAACTTGATCGACAGAATGAAGAACTTGAAAGATACATTATGCTTCAGGTACTAATTGATTCTCTATTTATCACTTTAATCTCATTTGGGCTTTCTATTTATAACTTTGAAATACTGATATTCAACAGGGAGAAAATATGGTGAAAGGAGTGAAGGACATACGACAGAGACACATGGCTTCATTCCTAACTTCCATCAGTAAAGGAATAGACAAAAAGATACGCGAGAAAGATGTTGAGATCGAAGCCATAAACCGTAAAAATAAGGATCTTGTGGAAAGAATAAAACAGGTGGCAAATGAAGCCCAAAATTGGCACTACAGAGCAAAATACAACGAATCAATAGCCAATATGTTGAGAGCAAATCTTCAGCAAGCATTAGCACAAGGAAACGAGCAACAAATAAAAGAAGGATTTGGTGATAATGCGGATCTTGAAAATGATGCTGTGTCTTCTATAGATCCAAATAATTACCTTGGAAAGTTTGATAATCATAATTCTAATCATAATGGTGTTATGATATGCAGAGCGTGTAAGGTGAAGGAGGTGTGTATTCTTGTGATGCCATGTAGGCATTTGAGTTTGTGTAAAGATTGTGATAGTAGAGGTGTCAATGTTTGTCCTGTATGTCAAGTTGTGAAAAGTGTTGGTGTTGAAGTGTACATGTCCTAATTAAAATATCATCAACATTCAAACTAGGTTAGGCTTGTGTTGTGATGTCGAATGTCGATGATGAAAGTTTAATTTGTGAAATCAAGGAATTGGTTACTTGTATATTCTATAAGTATATGATGAGATTATGCAACCATGATATTTGGGGGTGTTTGATGCTTTAAGAAACAAATTATCTTCTTTCATTCAATTATTTTTTCGTGAGAAAGCAAAGGTCCTTCTCAAACCTTAAAAGACGTGTTTTCTTTTTCTAAACTCAATTTCCTTTCATTGCGAATTGCACATGTTAAAATAGCTTTTTACTAGCCACATAAATAAATTTTGTTATAATGAAGTAAGACTAAAGTGCTACTAAGTATACAACATAAAAGAAAATTAACTATTAACACATTGTTTTAACCTAATTTAAAAAACTCTTTGCTTTCACAAATTTAACCAATTATCACGATCTACCACCCTAAGCCCACTGTAGCTCCAAAAATCTCGAAATTGCAACAACACAATTCTTTCTTTTGCGCGGGAATTACTTACTTCTATCGTCAAAAGATTTCCGTTAGGTTTTTGCATCTTTTCATAAACGAAATACAAACTCGTTGTTTTAGTTGCGAGATTTAAGGAACCTCAAATTCTATTGATTGCTCTCAGTTTCCTTTTTTGAATCAAGTTTTCTTCACATAGGTTTATCATATGGACGCTTCGTCTGTTAGAAATCTCTGCCGATATGTAATTTTAATTGCTTTCGATTTCCATCCCAATTCAAGTTTTATAGTTACGATTTTAATTACATCTGTGCAAACATTATTTCAGTTGATTTCGTCGGCGATTCAACGATGTCGTATGTCAGGGGAACTTTGTCGATTATCCGTCGGTCTGAAATCGTTTCCACTTGCCAATCCTCCTTTAGTTCGTATCTCAAGTACTTCGCTATCTCTGATTCTGTGTATATTAGTTTGAATTTAGCTTTAACTTATGTAAATCTATATAATAACTTGGCTGATCATAGAATCATCGAACTTGCATTTTATAGATCGATTATTATACCTACGAGTTTGTCTTTCTCGTCATCAGTTTATTATCTCTTTTGTTATGATAATATTTTGCCTTCATGATATGAGTAGTTTCTGACACGGGAGTTGGAAGCTGCTTGGAGGAGTTTCAGGATGTGAAGTATCTAAGTGATTCATCATTGAATCAGATACATGGTATGAACTTAAATTGGCAGTATATACGATTTCTAGATCTCTCAAAAAAAATGTTACATTTGTAACTTGTTTACTGAAGATCATACTGAACATCATCATGCCATTTTGTTTTTAACTTCTTATTATGAGAGTGTGGAAGGAAGCGATCGATTCTATCCATTTAGATCTACAAAGTTCTCTGAACCATTGATACCTGCTACTTTTTAGAAAATCTAACATAAAATCCTGGAGATCTCTTTCAATCTTATTATATAATAATCAACTGATGAACAGCTTTGCTATTCCATGCAGATGGAGTTATATCAATCGCCACTACCAGTAAGTATCATTCTTCTTGGATTACATTTGTTGATTTAAATTTAACTAGTGCATTTAGAGAGATTTATTTTGTCATCATTTGAACTTTACAGGAGTTTGCGATAATGAAATATTTCACTACAATATAGATCTTAAACAAAAAGATTGCACAAAAAGGCTAGCAACATTACCTCTAACCCCCAAAAATGGTGCAACATTCAGGCATGCTATTAGCAACAAGTGTTTTTAAATTAGTTTAATTCCATAACCATCCAGACATTCATTTCTTGATTGCTTTCTTCCAGTGGGACTGAAGTATCATTCTCAACATTTCATAGTATTGATGTTTTACTAGAAGACATTACTTGCTTTTTCCAGAAGGTTAGTTGTTTCATATCAACAATGCAATGACCCAATAATCTTTTATTCTTTTTGGCTACATCACCTAATATTTTTCTTTTTGTGCTGTTTGTATGATCAATTCTGCAGATGCTCATTATGAAGATTCCTGTAAGTATCAGTTCAAACTCATTGTTATTTTCTTGAAAACATTGCTGTAACCATTGTTCATTCTTCAATCTGAATGACTCTACTCTGTATTTTATATATTTGTTTTTGTTTTATCAGAAGGTTGGAATTGAACTGATTGTTGACAAGGTAGAATTTCCTGAGCACCAATGTGCAAATGTTATAGTGGCAAATGAGTGCATTGACTCACCTTCAGAAGCAAATGCTGAATGCCTCAAGTCAGGCCTTGTGGATTATGTTCTCAAGCATGGGAATAAAAAAGACAGTATATGCAATTCTTGCTTCACAATCGAGTAAGTTGTAAGTGGATAAGATCTAGTTAAGGTAACTGTGTTAGTCAGACCACCTGATTATTATTGACCACACATTTTCATCCTGTTGCATTAATGATTTTTTGTTAGGGATCACTTGAAAGTAGGAAGTGGGGAGGTCTACAAAAGTTATAGGAATACTGAAACAACAATAGAAGCTGTGGTTATAATCAGTGACTTATCAGAGATGATGGATCCATCCTGTTTCAGGGCATATGGTAGTAAAACCGAGGTCAGAATAAAAAAGATAAATTTTTTTATTAAAGTTATTTGAGGAAATGACATCACATTTGTTTCTATTTCTTAGAAGTTTTTATGACTACTTGCATTTCAGGTATTATACTTCAATGATTTCTCACCTGGAATAACTTGTCAACCATTACTAAAAGCATTAAAAACCATTGATTGGAAAAGCTATGGACTAAGCATAAAATCCATATCAGATGAAGATGGTTGTGCTTTTATTGAATGGGACAATTTGCCTCAAGATTGTCATATTGACATTGCTATCCACTCTCATCATAACAAATATCCATAAATTACCTTTTTTCTATATTCTTTTTACCCTTTTGTATTCTTTTTCTTTGTATTTTCTTAACGTTTACCAAGCGTGTGAATGTTGATGGAAATCTTGTTAAGAAAGCTGTGAAGCTTGCATTGAATGACTTAAAGAAAAAGAATGCTGGTGTTCTTCTCAGTGCACATGCAGTTAAGGTACATTTAACTTTTTTTTAAAGCCAGAAAAGATGCTTTTGTATAAGTAGGGTTAAAAATTAAAATGGTTGGGTGAAGAAAAGGTTAAAATTTCTGGAAGGGACCGGGTCTGTAATTTTTTAGAAACCACAGGGACTAAATTTGTAGTTTACTCTAGTTTCTTACTTGTAACAGTGTGTTTGTTTGTTATTTTAGATTCGCAGTTATGCTCCAGAGCTTGCGAAAACAATTGCAAGCCTGATTTCAACCTCAGATGACTTGAAATTTAAAGGAGAATGTGCTTCTATTCTTGGCCTACATTCTTCTCATCATGATACAGAATCAGAATCCATTGAAGATAACATTAAACAGAGGCTTACTTCAATTATAGACCAGAATGACAGACAACCTCAGACTAATAAGAGAACCAGAGAGTCTGCACCTCTTCTTTTTAATGATGACTGCTTTCAGGAACCAGAATATGCTGCATATCAGGAATATGAGGATGAGGTAAGCTTTTCTGCTTTTGATCAATAGAATAAATACATCTACGATTTCCATTACCAACTCTTCTTTTAATATAAAATATACCATAGTTTACGATTTCCATTACCAACTCTTCTTTTATACAAAGATTATTTGAAAAAAGGGCCGAATACATACAAGATATAACAATGGACTTTCATTTAATAGTGTTTTATAGCATTGTACTTAGAAAATATACTGTACTCAATTATTATAATGTTTACGATTCAAGTTGATGCTAATTTGCTTCTCAAAAAAATTGTGCATCAAATTAGAGGTGGTAATGCTGTTCAATCTGTGTTAATTTGGTAAAAAAAAAATATTAGCTGGAAAAGAAATGGATGAACTGACTAAAAAAGTGCAACATTAAATGGGTGCAGCTTCTTTTTTTCAACGAACTTCTTAAATTATTTTTATGCGAAGAAACAGATTATTGTAAGAATAAAGTTTGGGTAATCTTAAACACTAGTTTTTCAGACAAAGGTACAGCAGGAATTCAATTCGTTTTGATCCGTACCAAAAACTAGTCATTAGACTTGTCTAATCTGTTTAATTAATCTATTTTATGCTTTAACATACATTTCCTAACAGATACTTGTTCGACATCATTAAATAATTTATGAGATTTTATAATACAATTACACTCTATGTACACCTTATGTCCTTAACATGAGGGAAGAACAGAAGAAGACGAAATGAAAGATTACTCCGCTAAAATGTAAAAACGCAATTGGTCAGTCATTATAGTGCTAACTTAACGGCTAAATAACTATAATGTTAATCAACTTAACGAAAGCTAATACATATAACAGTTCCAACAGCTGATAGGAAGTTTCCAAAATGAAGATGATTACATCGCTCTTTGCAATTTAGATAAGTCTAAAATTGCATCGGATAAATTTATCCCAGACAAATCACAATCTAAAGTTCAAAAGCCCTTGATGAGCTCCATGGTTTTTAGAATTAATTCGAAGATGTCATTGGTTGCCAAAAGAACTGAATCCATTTCATGTCTTTGATAGGCCTTAATTTTAGAAGTCTTATTAAGAGCATCCACAGCGGTATTGCAAATGAACTTGCAAACCTCTGTGAACATGACATGACAAATTCAACTCAGCAAGTTCTTGCAAATATAGAAAGACTTTCAAATGCAAAAGTGGGTCCCTCCACTCATCAACTTGCTACTTGCTATATTACACATCTTTAAAACATTATCTGGTTTCGTAGTGGCAGTGGAGACCACTTTTGAAAGATGAGTGTTATTGTACTGATGTGAGTAGTCATTGCAAAGTTGATGTGTACAATCGAAAGATTAATGCATTGCACTGATGTGGATAGCCTAAGTCATCCACACCTGGGAGTCGATGGTGCAGCGTGCAACTTGCTCTCACAATTTTATCACCACATTGGTGATTAATTAATTTTCTTTTAACAAAGCTTAATTTATTATTACTTCAACTTTAATGTTTTAAAGAAATAAATAATTTTACAATACTAATATCTTTATTTTTTTTCAAATATAATAGATTGCTATAAATTTATATTTCTTTAATATTATAAATGTTGTCTTATGAAAAAAATGTTTTTAATAAAGTATTTGGGTTGGCTTGGATTGCTATTGGACCAACAAATACAAAATAAATAGTATTTTAAAAAAAAATAGGGATTAGTTTTTTTTTTTTTTTTGAAAAACATATAAATCTGACATTAATAAATCTGTGTTTAAAGTGATTAATCAAAACTCAAAAGTCAAAAGCTAGAAACAAGACAAAAAAACAGACAGACATATAATACCTTTAAAATACTTGCAGCAATCCAACCAAACATCGTATCATACATGTTCCATAACTGTCCTATATTTAAATGCAAAAAAATAATAATAAAAAAAAAAACCTTTTTTAACATAATGTTTCATAACCTCTCGAACCTCTACATCACAGACAGAAGAACGAGAACACCAAAGTGACTGACCATACAAAAAGCAAAACTTGCCTGCCTCCTCAAAATACAATCACCTCCTCAGATCATGCCTGTTTAAATCATCACCAAAAAAAAAACAAATAATGTCAAATTTGCACCATCACCATAATACATTAAAATAAATAAATAAAAGAACACCCACAAGGCCACAACACGACACGTTCCTTTTTAATGACAGTTGCGAAAATGTCAAAAATTATATATATATCGTTGTTTAAAAAAATGAGTGTTTAAAACAAACTGCAGTGTTTCTTTGGTAAAGAAATATGTTATAGAAATAAATTATTTTATTAGAAAGAGGTTTAGAGTTTAGAGTAGAGTAGTTACCTTGTTAGCAATGTTGTTGGAGAGCCAGTCCAAACCTTCATAAAGTCCTTCCCCAGAAGTAGCACAGGTGCTCTGGATGTACCTGCAAAAACAAATGAGCTTTTATTAAACTTATACAAAAAGAAAAGAACAACATGTAATATTCACGTTATATTTTTATGCAATTATAACGTATTCACAAAAAAAAGAGCATATGTGATTTTAGAGTCAATATAATTAATATATATATATATATATATATATATATATATATATATTAAAATGTTGCAATTTATTTATTTACCAGTGGCGTTGTCGGAGGGAGTGGAGACCAAGCTTATCAGTGATTTCAGCAGCATTCATTGCATTTGGCAGATCTTGTTTGTTAGCAAATACAAGGAGAACTGCATCTCTTAGCTCATCCTACAATCAAATCAAATATCTTTGATTATAAAACATTATAAAGGTTTGATTTCTTGTAACAATTTTAATACCCATCAAGATACTTAAAAAAAATAAAAATAAAATTTAATACCCATCAAGATACTTACAAAAAATAAAAATAAAAAAACTTACTTCATTCAACATCCTGTGCAACTCATCTCTTGCCTCAACAACTCTATCCCTGTCATTGCTATCAACCACAAAGATAAGACCCTGTGTGTTCTGGAAATAGTGCCTCCATAGTGGACGAATCTGCACCATTCATTCAATTCATGATCATAAATAGATGTATCGAGGTCAAGAAATCTAGAAACATTTATTATACCTTGTCTTGACCCCCCACATCCCAAACTGTGAAGCTTATGTTTTTGTACTCAACAGTCTCCACATTAAATCCTGAAGAAAAAAACAACAATTGGTATTTGATATTATTAATTACTAAAGTAACACAAGGTTATAGTTGGGAATTATTTAATAAATAAAAAAAAGACATAGTATTACATATACATACCAATGGTAGGGATTGTTGTGACAATCTCGCCAAGCTTGAGCTTGTACAAAATGGTGGTCTTACCAGCTGCATCGAGACCCACCATCAATATACGCATCTCTTTCTTGGCAAACAACCGGCTGAAGAGTTTGGTGAATGTAAGCCCCATCTTTTATCTGATGAGGATCCCTACACAAAACACTAGATATATTCAGATTGTTTGTGGTAAATACAAGATGCTTCAGGGAAGAACTAGTTTCTAAATCATCATTCAAAGTTGCAAAGGATCCAGATTTAGGTCTGAACAAATACTATATGACGCCATGAAGATTGAAGGAATGGATCTTTCTATGAAACCTATAATTTTCAGATCAGAGACATATGGCAGTTGAATTTTCAAACAGAAATCTGCTTAAGCAAATCACAGTTGATAGACGTGAAATGATAAAGCAAAAACAGATTGTTGTTCCTCCAGGGGAAACAAATCAATTGTAGCAAAGTGCATGTTATTGTGGACGGATACTTCTGTTTAGTTCAATCAATCGAGATAATTAAACGTATCCCCAAGCACCTCAAGTAAGAAAATAAGAGGAGCATAGAAATGTCACAAAATGTCGTTAAACATGTTGTGATTCAAACAAATAACAGATCAAACTCTTAAAATCTAAATTACACACATGAAACCGACAATCGTCCAGATGAAACATAGCATGATAGATCTAATGAGAACGAACGACCACCACTGCATTGAACCAAAAGCCTACCAATACAGAAGCAAAAGCTACGATCTAGATTCACGCTTTAACAAAATAGTTAGTTATAATAAACAGCGATGTTATACATATCAACCTCTCCAACCTAAAATATTCAGATCGGAAAACAATATCTTCAAACCTTCAATCAGAATTTAGAATGCGTAAATCGAGCCCTAATCCGATTAACGAAATCGCCAATTTAGAAGACAACACTCGTTAAAAAACGTGGAATTTCAAGTAACTAAAGAGAATTTTATCAAAAAAAACTCTCAATAGCAACAAAACAAAAATCAGAAACAAACTGTTGAATCGATTAGCACCATAAGATGATGACCTGCGATTAACAAACTCTGAATTCAACGTATAGGCGATTTGATCCGAGAGAGAATTGAGAAATGAGAACTGAGAAACGAAGATTCAGATTCAGATTCAGATTCAGATTTAGATTTAGATTTGGAATTAGAGTTTACCTGAGGCTGAGAGAGAAGGTTTGTGGAGAGCGATCGATCGATCTAAAAGTGAGGGAGGGAGAGGAGAGGTAGAAAGAGAGGCTCGTAAAATAAGGAGGTGTGACGCGTCAACGGAGATGAGTGACCATCAACAAATTTTCTCCTTTAATACCCAAACTGCCCTTTCCATCACCCCAAATACCAAAAGAACAACCACATCGATTCCCAAATAACAAAAACTACATGTCTATGAATTCTTAAAAATTATCTTATATTATTTTCCACACACAAAAATCATCAAAACAAATAAACTTTAGTACCGATATGTTAAAATATATCTTTTTTAGTACGAGTCAAGCAACATGCCAAAACAGATAGCCTTTATACACGTAGGATCGAGTTGGATTTGTTGTTTAAATATTTAGATATTACTTGCTACAGTAACAAACTATGTTTTTCTTATATATATTTGATAATTGTTTTTTTACATGATCTAGGATTTAATTCACATGTGATATTCAAAATCTAACATTTTTATTGGAAATAGCATGTTTAATTGTTTTTTTTACATGATCTAAGATTTAATTGGTTTCTAACAAGTAACAAGTCTTTTGACAAGTAAATGAAGAAATAACGTAAAGAGGGTCTTATCATGATGATGATCCATTTTTTTTGGGTAGTAGACTACAGTTAGGGTCGATCGTTGAAATTGTTATTTCATAATTAATGTCAATAACATAATCAATTTCAACATAATATCTTTGTCGGAATTTTTATTACATACTTTAACATGCACAATGTACGGATATTCACCTAGTATATTCATACATGGGTGTGCAGCTCCACTCGGGCCAATCTTCCCACTTTTTTATCTTATGCAACATTTATTAGCGGTTTTTTTTATTATAGATTGATATCTTCTTGGACTGTATAAGGTAATCAATTATTATCATTGTACACATTTGGTTATTTGGTTATTGACATTTATATTGTTCGCAATTTACCGCTTTTGTTCAGAAAATGCCATTAACTTTTTTTTTTGTTTTATTAAACCTTTTTACAATTTTTTTTTGAACTTGTTTTACAGTTTTTAATAACATTTTTACACCTTAAAAATTTAAACTTTTTTTTTACAGTTTTTTTATGACTACATGACAACTTTTTAAAATTTTTGTTTATATTTCTACTAACGTTTCCACGTTTAACTTATTTGTTTAGGTAAATTACTATTATATCGAAAATAAAAAATATATATTAATATAAGTGCTATTAAAAGTTTCAACTTTTTATAAAACAGAATGTATCTTTATAAAACAAAATTTATTCTTACTGCATATTAAGATGATCGTCGTTTGGTTTGTAACGAAATATAGATAACCTATATTTTTATTATCGTAGTATAATCAATAGTTTATGGTACATACATAATGTATTTGATGCCGGTTCAAAGCTGATATCAATATTGTTGTGGTTGCTTTTGGATACAATCTACTATTTTTTAACATGTTTTTATTGTATGTAGGTATATTTTTTATCCCATGTTTTTTGGATAATTATTAACTATGTAGGTTATTTCAACATAACCAATCATTAATGGTGAAACAATCTTTTTGACATTTTAGACGAAAACATAATCATTGTTCTGGAATCATACACATTGAAAACAAGGATGATTATCATCTTTCTCCTTTTTTTTTTCGTACAACTTCCATCATATATAAATCCATGACTTTTTTACCAAAATATATATTATAAGAACTTTTTTCAAGTGATAAATTAGTGTAACACATTTTTATTACTTATTCATCTTACACTACAAAAACAATATAAGTTCTTGTTCAAGGTTTAGACATGCTTATCCACCAATCCATTAAGATCTTATGGGTATTGATCATTCTGGTATTGTTTGGAACAAAATGGAACTGAAAAAACTAAAAATACAACCGAAAACAATGTTCAAACAAAATGGTTCGGTCCCAAATAACATACAAACTTTTGGTTTTATTCCTCGGAAAATATAACCATAAAACAATGTTCTTTAAAGTTTGAAAAATGAAATATCTTGAAGAAAAAAATTGGCTCGCCTCTGGTCCCGGACCAAATTATGAAAGAAATTCTAATAAAAAATCCATTCAACTATAGCCGGTATCAGACTATTGATATTGTTTCGGTTCGTCCAACAAATTCATCATAAAAAGGTAAAATCGTAACCTATGGTGGCCCATGATGAACATTTGTTTATCACGTGTGGGTGACAATCACAGAGCACTAACAATATTTTAAATATATAATATTTGCACTTTAAATATCTTTTATGAAACTCTGCATTTTAAGTGTTAAACTTTTATTGTCGGACAAAAATTTGGCATATGATCCAAAAAAAGGTGAACCTAAGACAAGTTCGCCAAATGACTGGTTATAAATGAAGATTTTTTTTTTGGGATATATACACTAAAGTCTCAATATTTTCATCGATTTGACAAGAAAGTCCTAAACTTTATTTTTTTGACAGTAAAGTCCAAATTACCGACAGTTTTTGACACTTTTACCCTTTTTATCCGGTTAGCCGGTAATTAGGACTTTTTTTGTCAAAAAAAAAGTTTAGGACTTTCGTGTCAAATCGTCAATTAGGACTTTACTGTAAAAAAAAATAAAGTTTAGGACTTTCTTGTCAAATCGTTGAAAATATTGGGATTTTAGTGTATATATCCCTTTTTTGGTTAGAAATTTAATGGTATGATACTCTTTTAAGCATAAGAGTTATTGAAACCTTCTCTAGTCAGCTCGATCCTATTGAAATACTTAACGTTTGCTTCTTGTTAAATCGTTTTTTTAATCTCAACAAATTGATTTTGAAAAAAAGGAGATAATCAAGAAAGAAAGAAAGAAAGAAAGAACTAGGATTGTGTTCGCTTTTTGCAGTCCAAAAAATGGAGAAATAAGAAACAGCAAAAAAAACGAAATTGCCATTCTTTCCCTTCTCCACATTCACACTTTTTTGACTAGGCATGTGTTGTTTATGTTTGTATAATCTGTCCTAACTAAAGTCCCAATATTTTCAACGATTTGACAAAAATGTCCTAAACTTTATTTTTTTGACAGTAAAGTCCTAATTGATGATTTGACAAGAAAGTCCTAAGCTTTATTTTTTTGACAAAAAAGTCATAATTACCGGCTAACCGGAAAAAAGGGTAAAAGTGTCAACAACTGCCGGTAATTTGGACTTTACTGTCAAAAAAATAAAGTTTAAGACTTTCTTGTCAAATCGATGAAAATATTGGGACTTTAGTGTATATATCCATTTTTTTTAACGACAAACTAAATAACTTACTCTTAAATAACATTTGTCTCCTAAGAAACTTAAACTCATGACTTCTCATTTGAGATAGTCACTCCTTACCGCTAGACCAAAAAACCCTTTGGTACAAAAATTATTAGTTAGAAAATGAGTAAAATTGGATAGGAAGTTGTCCAATAAATATTAAAGTGTTTACTATCTTTTATTTATATGATATAGTATTTATGTAATATTTAATATATTAAATATTTACAAAATCGAAAAGGCACCAATCGAGTCAACCCAACCTAGATCAAAATAACACCATACCAATCCACCCTGTCAATTTGCCAACACTTCTAATAATAGACAGCAACCACAACATTGTGAAAAACTATTATTCCCTCCCATGATGGGATTTTGTAAAGTTTTTTCCTATTTTAATTGTTCTACAAAAATTTATTTACAAGGATTAAAGTCTTATTACAATACTATAGAACCCTAACTTTTCATTTTTTTTTTTAAAAAGAACTTTCTCAAAAGTACAAAATTAACGCAAATTTTGTGTCAAAAGTAAAAACCCTTAAAAAGGTGGAAAAGATTTTTGAAGATAAATGACTTAACTATTACATACTCTAATATTGTGTTTATACACATAACAATGTTTTTCTCAGATTTGAGTATGTTGATAAAAAATACATTTGTTTGATTTAACTAACCATTTTTGATGATAAACTTGTTTCCTCCTAGCTTTGAAAGTACTTATATTATGCAAGGTAACCAATTTACCTTTTTACCATTGTTCTGACCATATGGATCAGAGTCTAGCTTTTTTTTCCATATACCCTTATATATAATTTTTGGTTATTTTTTTACATCTATAACACAAAGCTAATCCAAACAACCACAATCTTTGATGTATTCAAATCATCTTAAGAAAGCATACCAATTTACACTAAGAACAGTCCGAAATCATACAATGACAACAAAGAAAGATTCGTTTCTTCAATGAACAAGAATACAATATAATAATATCAACAACTTAAAGCAATGGCCTCCAAAAGGGACCCCATAAACTGCATTTGTGTTTCTTCATTGATTCTTGAAAATGGAGGAACATGTACAAATAGAGACTTGTGACCTCTCTCTTCTGCAAAACGGAGGGAATGATAGTATACATAGTTACACACAAAACGCCCTGCATCATCAGAGATCATTGCATCATAGCCCTTCATCTTTTTCAAGAATTCCAAGATTGCATCAATCGAGCAACCAGTCTTGAAAAACAACAAATCAACACACATTTCATTAGTAGTAAGTTCTATGTTCCTTAAAATGATTATTATATAAAAACAATACATGATTATTACCTCTCGTATCCGAGTTATTCCTCCATCCTCTGGGACAATTGGAACCCTCTGCAAACAAATGAATTTAGGTGTAAAAGATTAATTAAAATTTAATATTACAAAGCAAATTTATTGATAAAAAAGAAGAACCTTGGGTTGCCAACCAAGCTCATCTGGACAAGAGAAGGTAGCTTCATTTACTGCTTGTCTTTCAATGGCAAAGTTTGATGCTCCTCCATTCAACCCCATATGAAGCTTAAAAAACAAACAAGAGTTCATGAATATCAACTTGAGAACAATTGAATTTGTATAATTATATTAATCTCACCCACACAACTTCTTTGGATCCGAAATTGTTTTCATTTGAAACACTTGATTCCAGAACCTTCTGAAGTGTGGTCAACGCACCATCTCCTGCAGTCTCAAGAATAGTGCAGCTGCCTAAAGAAACACCAAGGGGTAAACCTGTCTTTTCTGTATAACTTTGTAAATTTGAAACTAATGTTTCAGTAGGATTGGTAGCAAAAACATTGAACTTCTTGAAGCCAGTCACATGAATCACAACACTCTTTGGCGCTTCTGAACCCATTTCCTTCTCACAATCACAGCTTCAATCACCAATCCTGGCTGATTTCCTATATAGGAAGCAACAAATTTGCACCAAACATGATTAAAACCACTAACCCTAAAAAGGAAATAAAGTTAATAGCGGAAATGCTTATCCAGTTCATTCAATTTAATTTAATCAAAAAGCAATAATGCAAAAGCGAATTTATGATAAAAGCAACGTGATCATCTCCCAACCTAATAATTAACGCGCAATTATTCCAATCCGTAGATGATCCGAAATCCGATTGAAATACCTAAAAAGTAAAACCTAAACGGAATTGCTTAATGGTATCGTAAGGAGAATCAACTGAGGTTTAATCTAATAGTAACCTCAACCACTTTTAAAAAACTTCTCAAAATGATTTGCGAAACACAAAAGTCAATACATTAACATTAAATCAGACGCTACAAAACTTTGTAATTAAACTCGGATATACAGAGTTCATGAATAATCAATAATCGCATCAAAACACTCACTCCAGTGCCAATTTTGAGTCAAATTAAATCCTCACATATATGATATACCTATATCAACATTAGAATCATATCCAAAATTAAGGCGAAACCAAAATTATTGATCATGGTACAAAGATAAAGAGAGAATTACCTCAATCACTGACAATCCACGAGCTCTCACTCCGATGGCCGACGAGATTTGGTGGACTGAGTGAGAGAGAGAGAGAGAGAGAGAGCACTTTGGTGGACTGAGTGAGAGAGAGAGAGAGAGAGAGAGAGCACTTTGGTGGACTTTTAAGTCTTTTTATAGCTAAAATATGGAAGACCTGCTTCGATAAACTCTAATGTCGTGATCCATTATATTAAGCGTAAATTTACAGATTTTGTCCCTTTGTTATGTTAATACAAGTTTTATTTTTTTGTAAATGAACAAATTACTGAAATCGTCCGTTAGTTAAAATTACACATTTGGTCCTTACTGTTTGATTTTGGTAGTCCCTCATAAACATAAAAAAAGACTATAATGCCCTTTATGTTTTCTTTTTTCTTTTTTTATTTTTTTAGTTATTATTTATTAATTTAAAGGTGTATTAATATAAGAGGTTCCACCATTACCACCACCTGTTGATGTCAACCACCAACTACTACCATCAGAAACTCACCAGACACCGGAAACTACCACCGGTGACCGCTAGCCGCCACTTGCCCACTCCTTACTCATCACCTCCGGTAACAACCATTCCCCTTTACTGACAACATTTATAGACATGTAAACCCATTCCTATCATTACAACCAGGCAACAGTCATCACCATCACCACCCACTTATTCTTACACCACCACCATTCACCTATTCTGGCAACACCACCCGCCTATTCAGGTCGCCCGCATCATCGATTTCATCAAGTTACACCCCATTTACCTTCAGCAACCTTTATGTTCGTTCACCTCCTACAACAACCATCATTTACCTCCTTCAACCACAATCAATCACCACTGGGACCAAAATCAAAATCAAAGCAAAGCCAAAAATCAAATCCCAGAAATCAAAACCAGGCCAAGATCAAATCCCAAAATTAAAACCTATCCAAAGTCAAATCCTGAAATCAAAACATAAAAACGTAAAACCTAACCTCAAATCAATGATGTCGTCAAATTAAACACAATGGGATTTCACCATTTTTCCAAATGATGAAAACAGTAGAAGATGATATTTCCAACGGAGTTGCAGTTAGATGGGAACCTGCGAAGGCGGTGAAGAAAAACGGAGGTGCAGGTTTCCCAAGACTTTACAATTGCAGATTTCTGGAGGTGTTACGGTTACAGGCTTCTGGTGGTGGTGTTCACATGATAGCCGATGGCGACGGAGAGTTTATAATTTGCAGATTTTGGGAGGAGGCGGCTCCGATAGGGAGTTGAGGTGAAGATCAGAGCTTTAGTGTTGAGTTTAGGGGGAAAGAGGTATGTCTTGAACTACGATGTCGATGGCTTCTAGTTGTAGAAGGGAAGGAGTCGACTGGGGTGGGACCCAACTTTTTTAATAATATCTAAAATAGTTTTATGAAATAATTTTTAATATCCTTTTAAATATAAATAAAATATGGTAAGGGTATAATAGTCTTTTTATGTCTATTAGTGACCAAATGTGTAATTTTAAATAAACCACAGGGACGAAAATCATAACAAAAAGAAACTATAGGGATGGTCCGAGTGCAAAACAAAAGTTAGGGACCAAATGCGTAATTTTAACTAAACCATAGGGATGATTTCAATAATTTTTTCTTTGTAAATTAGTTATTGTGGTTTTATTTTATCTACTAGAACCAAACCTAAAAAATAGTATACAGTATAACAATAACAATCAAAATTGTAATGTAAACATAATTTTGTTGTTATTTTCTAAATTCTAATTTATTTTATCCTCAACCATCTTAGAAACTATAATATTTCAAACATTAAATTACACAATTGGTCATTGTGATTTGGCACAATTCACACTATTGGTCCTATTATCGATTTTGTAACATGGTTGGTCCTTGTGGTTTGCTTTCCTTCACCGGTGGTCTCTGATCCATATGTAGGCCTGGCAATGGAGCGAGTTTTGACCCTGATCCGATCCAAACCCTTAACAATTATACGGGTTTGGAGCATAGTTTTTGATCTGTTTACCCGTTAACGACCCATACCCGCTAACCCTTTTATTAAAAGGGTCGGGTATAGATCATCACCGATCCGCTCCATTTATAACCCGCCCCATATAAATTTTATAATTATACATTTATAGTTTATACTACCTAAAGTTTACTTTAAATTCCAATCGAAAGTCCAAAGAGAAAAGGCCAAAAACTAAACTGTTTTTACATAGGACTCGAGGACTCAACTTCTAGACTTCCGGTCTTCTCCCAATAATCATGATGTCATTTCATTTATATTTCATCATGTGATCACCAATTTCATTTATAAATCAATAAATTCATTTATCAACCGGAAGAAAGTTTGTAATTCCTATTCTCTATCAATGCAATCGACGGTCAAAAACCAATCGGAAGTAACTACGATAATGATTTTAATTCCAATCGAAAGTCTTCGAGTACATAATGTGTTTTCTAAATCAACATTTGTTTTATTTAATAAATGTGATTTTATGATTTAAGTAAAATGTGTTTGATTATCCAAAAAACCTACGGGTTACGGGGTGGGTTTGGATATCTGCTGATTCGGTGGATAAGGGTATGAGTTTGATTATTCAAAACCATGCGGGTTACGGAGCGAGTTTGGATCGGATTTTGGAATTTGTTAAAAGGGTTTTGGATCAAGGTCGATTCGCTCCAAACCCGCCCCATTGCCAGGTCTATCCATATGAAAATGTCATCTTACCCTTTTAATATATTTTTCCTTTTCTTGTGAGCCATTTATGTATTATATAAACACAAAATTAAATACATCATCCCCATCCCCCTTCTCTTTCTCTCCCCAGTTAATTTAGGAACCTAAAGCCCCATGGTAACTGATTTCAATGGTTGATTCGAATATCAAAGAGGATCTGGATCGAATATTATATTGGAGTCTCTAAGCTTCAAAAAGCATCTTGCCCTGAAGATTCGGTCGTCAAGAAGATAGGAGTGAGTGTTGATTCTCTATTTTCACACAACCGGACGTGAAAGTTTGATCAGAAGCGCCACCCTTTTGTTCACTTATTGGTTTTAACCATTAGTGGTGTCAGTGAATTAACTTGTTGAACGTTGTTTGGATGTTAAAAAACAAAGGATATTGCAAGGATATATCGGACAAGGTATAATAAATTATACCTTGAATACACAACATAATGGAGGCAAATAACTTGTTCTAGTCAATCTTGGATAAAATCCAGTCAAGCCTTGAATAAGAATATCAACCAAAGTATTCAATGCAAATGATTAAACAATAAATAAGATGAAGTAAATGCACGAAGAATGTTTGAAAGAGAATGATTGATGTATATTTCACTTGTAAATCTTTTGGAAGGTGATATTGAATACAATGGTTGACTTCCCTTTTTATAGGCAAGCAACTAAGATAACACAATAAGACAAATAAGACAATGTAAATTGCAGATAAACAAATAGTACACTAACAAAAGATATATGTTGATCTTGTCTCCTATATTGCAACATACTAAAAATACAAAATAACATCACACATTCTCAGAATGAGCAACATCTCGGAATCATTACTAACTCAAATGTAACATCCCAAAAGTATTAAGAAAAATTTCATTTTTAATAAAGTAAAACCATTAATTTCACTCCATCAAAGATAATTAGAGTATAAAATGTATTCTCAAAACAAACATTTGAGTGCCATAAAACAGAAGTACAAAATCTTCAGTGGATGCGATGCAATCATATCGGCTGTGACAACCCGAAATTTCAATCTTGTACAAACCATTCAATCCAATCAAAGTTAGACTTGTTTCTACTAACTTTTAGCACCGTTTTGAGTCTATTTGAGTATCCCGAGCCTAGTTTATCAAAGGAATAAGTGAATGAAAGTGTCAATTGAAGTTGTAACCCATCAACCATGCCATAAACCCTCAAAAGAGGAGTTTACGGCCAAGGGTCATGGGTTTACGGCCGTAAACACATGGAGGCCGTAAACTCCCTACTATATATACGACCCTTAGTCATTTTTCAGCCATTCTTCACTTTTCCAAGTCTAGAACTCGAATTCTCTCCCAAGGATCTTGAAGTTTTTGCTCCAAATCTTCAAAAAAATGTAAGCGAATCCTTTCATTAACGAGTTAATACATCTCTTCTTCTTGATTCACTCTTGATTTCATCCATGAAATCTCTTTTTTTGGGTAGATCTTCAAGTGTTCTTCATTTCACCAAGAACATACTAGTGTTTTGGGCTCTAACCACTCCCTCAAGCTTCTATTACGTAAGTACACTACCCTTAGCTTGTTATGTACTAGAATCACTTGTTAAACATCAAGAAATCATGTCCAGAAGGGTGTTTACGGCCAAGGCAATCTCCCTTGGCCGTAAACTTAAATATAGGGTGCATATGAACCCTAACTTCTTCCAAAGGCTTGGTCTTTAGTCTAGAACCCTTCCTGGAAACTTGTAGGACCTTAAACACACAAAATGGAACATGATGACATGAGTTTACGGCCGTAAACACCATGGGCCGTAAACCCATGGGCCGTAAACACCATGGGCCGTAAACTCATGGGCCTTACCATTTGGGCCGTAAACTCCAATGTGAGGCCCCACAACCCCTAGATGCAACCCTATGTACTTCTAACACTTGAATCAAAGTGTTTTCCATGTCCTAGGGTGTCCTTACTTACTTAATTAGTTGTCTAAACACTAATTAGATACATATATGTGTCATTATATGTTAAATAGGATCCGTGTGTGTGCTCAAGTCTTCACTTGACACCTAGCATCCTATACCACCCGTTCATCCAAACCACTCACTGCAGGTGAGTTCATACCCCTTAATCAACCTTTGAAATGATTTTTAAATGCTTTTATGGGGGGGGGGGATACAAGTTGAAACATTCTAGACATTGTTTTAATCACATGTGATTAATGACTAGAACAAACAGAAAGATTTTCTATTACTTTCAAATTGCTATCAAACTTATGGATTTCAAGCACTTCAAAACCCTTTATCAAACTGTTTTAGATGCTAAAAACCGTTTTCAAACCTTTTTTTTAAACTTACATTATTGTCAAACTCATATCAATACTAATATATTTATATAAGTAAGATTTGAAGGACTTAGGACTG